AAACCAATGTATTCATCTAGAGAGTATGATCTTCCCGCCGCTTGAGAAATAGACTGGTTACCTTGGAGGCCTAATTTCTAGTAGATTTTTTGATGCAATTCGTGAATTGGTATATTGCATTTAATTCATATTGGTCTTTTCTCTCCCTCGAAATTGATCCCACGCCAACCTTCCAATTTCCCTACCATTGTAATGGAGAACCACATGAACAAAATTAGAATCAAAACTCATTTTTAATACAAAAACAAATAACATAAAATAGAGTAAGAAGAATCAAGAGAGAGAGAGAGAGAGAGTATATGCAGAAAATTTTGAGAGGAGAGGGATTTATACAGGGGAAGGGTATACAAATGTGGTAGTTGAATTGGATGGTGTTGATTGCGCTAAGTGGCACCATCCACTAAATTGCATATTGTTTTTGAGTCATACAAGAGAAGATGTGCATCCAAAAGGGTGCAATAAGCATTGACCAGATGCACCCAAGATAGTGCGTAACTAGTTTCATTATTTTTGTAGATAGTTGGCCAACTGCCTTATTTTCATATTTTGTTATTAAAAATACAATTCTTTATTTTTTCTCCTTTGCTTAAATGGTTATCTCATTCAACATGAGATAAACCAAATTCCTACATATACATAATAAATGTGGGTCTCATCTATATTTTTTTTTCTCTCCAATTATTTGTTCGTCTCTCTTATAATTTTATTTCACTAACATAAGATAATTCACCTTCATCAACATAAGAAAAATATTTTCCTTGCTTAAATTATTCAAAGTGTAATGTAATTTTTATGTCGAACTCAAAACAATTACGGTAGGACCCACTCAAAACAATTTTTTTTTTAATAAAATGAATGGAATTTTTGAAATGTGTCGGAAGAAGAATTGTTTCTCCATTAAAATGAGAAACAATTCCCCCTTATTCAAATGCATCTTTACTAAAATTATAATCCATTATCATAAAAGCGGCCGGGAAAGATGAAAAGAATGTTACCCCTATTTTTGTTGTAACAAAATATTGTAAAAGAGTTCAGATATCTGTAAAATAAAAAAAAACAATTATGAGATGCACGCGGTACATATTGAATTATCACAATAATAAACATTACTCAGCCCAAAAACACTCCGCTTTGGGAAAGCCCATTAATACATGTGATTAGTGTTTCTCCGCATATAATTTTATTTTTTATATACATATAAAAATAAAATATAGATTATATTTTATTTTTCTTTTTATTTTCTTATATATATATATATAAAGATAAAATTATCTTCTATAACATGAGAAATATTAATTTCTTAGTATATTGTGAATAATATTTATCATGTTATTAAAGGATTAATATTTATTATGTTATAGAAAATAAATTTTATCTCATGTACTTACATAAAAATATATGGGTCCATGTGAAAAAAAGAACAAATAGAGATCTTATATATTTTTATATATGTACAGGAGATAGAATTTATCTACTACAATATGATAAATATATATATTTTTGAATAAATCATGTGATAATCTTATTAGAAGAAAATTCAGAATTAAAATTTTAAATCTCTCAAGAAAATAAATAAATAATAATAATACTATAAAGTATTGAATACATATTCTTAGCCGCGTATACTTACTCCCAATTCGTCAACCAAACTTTTGGTAGAAACGTTATTCTCTAATATATATAACAACATCTTTTGGTTTTTGGTCACTTCTCAGTGCCCGCTTTCCCTTCTCTGCATTTCTCTTCAAATAGAGTAAGCTCTCCAATCAAACGAGGGCATTTCACATTCTTTTTTTCCCCCAACTTATAATGAACAAAATATCTATCCCACTCTACCTCTTCTTCTAACTAGAAGAAGATGGCACATCAGCACCATCAACACTCAACATCCCTTTTAGATTCCCTGTACTGTTCAGAAGATAATTGTGAGGAACAACTAGAAGATGATGACTACTACGATTACTTAAGTGCCAACATTAGCACAACAACAAACTCTCCTCTCGTGTTGTTAGAACAAGACCTGTTCTGGGATGATGAAGAGTTAACATATCTTCTCTCCAAAGAACAGCACAACCAACTCTGCACATACCTCGAAAGCAACCCTCTCTTGGCTTTAGATCGAAGAGTAGCCACGGAATGGATACTAAAAGTGAATACCCATTACTCCTTCTCTGCTCTCACCGCTGTTCTTGCTGTCAACTACCTTGATAGGTTCCTTTTCAGCTTCAGATTTCACAATGGGAAGCCATGGCTGACACAACTAGCTGCTGTGACTTGCCTTTCCCTTGCTGCTAAGGTTGAAGAGACCCAAATGCCCCTTTCTGTAGACCTCCAAGTATGTGCCATGAACCTATCATGACTCCACTTTCTCTAAATTTCAAAAAAAAAAAAAAAAAAAAAGATTTTGATCATTGGTTATGATTTTTCTCTAATTTGTGTAGGTGGAGGACAGTAGATACTTGTTTGAAGCAAAAACGATAAAAAGAATGGAAATTTTGGTCCTTTCCACTCTTGGGTGGAAGATGAATCCTGTAACACCTCTCTCATTTCTTGATTATATCACAAGGAGACTTGGGTTAAAGGGTTATCTTTGCTGGGAATTTCTCAGGAGGTGTGAAGCTGTTCTTCTCTCTGTCTTTGCAGGTAACTTAGCAGATCTTAAGTTTCTCACTTTGTTTATTTTGGTTTTGACTTCATCTTTAACCCATCATTACAGATTCAAGGTTTATGAGTTATCTTCCTTCTGTGATGGCAACTGCTACAATGATGTACGTTGTCAATAGTGTGGAGCCTCCTCTTGGAGTTGAAAACCAAAACCAGCTCTTGGGTATTCTTGGAGTCAACAAGGTTTTTGTCTTTTTAACGTTCTCTTGAATTAATATATTCGAAAAGTGTTGTTGTTTTCATGGTTCATAAATAGTTAAATCTGGAATTGATGCTTTGCAGGATAAGGTGGAAGAGTGTTGCAAGTTTATGTTGGAGATCGTGTCAGGGTACGATAAATTCAAGTCCAATAAACGCAAGTTTGGGTACAATCTAATGGATGGGTTATTTAGCTGTGATAACTCGAATTATTCTTGGGAGGTAGGTGCATCAGTTCCATCCTCACCGAGGCCTTTGTCCAAGAAGACTAGGACTTTCAAGATCAGCTTCTGTTGAACTATTCAGATTTTATGTCTCTCTCTCTCCCTCTCTTTATAAATATTTATAAACATTAAATTGGTGAAGATATATCAAAATTCGTTAATATCTATAAAAAAGGTCGAAAATTTTATGATGAGAGGCAAAAACTCATTACCTGTTTCTATTTACAAGTCATTGAAAGTAATACACCTTCCACGAAACCCGAGATGGGTGTGAAGGGTTTTTGGGAGGACAGAATGTTGGTACTTGGTACATAAGAAGAACACGAGCATATCAATGAAGGGTAATACTTCTCTTATGTTGTATAAGAGAAGTACTATTTCATGTTCAAACAAAAAGTAGGAGATAGAAAAAAGTTAAAGGTGAGAGAGAAAAAATCTTGTGGGACCCATTTAAGAAATGTGAGTGTAGGAGATAATATTTTGTTTATGTAACATGAGAAAAGTAATTCCCAAAGAGCATATTCTATCTTCTATGTACCAAAAAAAATTTATTTTCTCTTCGTTTATTCAAATACTCCCCTGTCATAAATTCTCAATAGTACACTTTTTGCCGAAATAATAATAATAATAATAAAGGATTAATATTTTTATGTCCTAAATACAAAAAAGTATATGAGGTTTTTTTTTTCTCTTTTATTTTCACATAGCCCTAATGTAATGAGCTTTATATATTTTTATGTGTATATAAAAGATAAAATTATCTCTTATAATATAGAAACATTAATTGAGGGTGGCAAAACAGCTCATGACTCGTGGGTTGACCTGCAACCCTACACGCCAAAATGCCTGACATGTCGACCCACGGGTTCAAACGAATCATGTACGAGTTTGAGTTTTTGACACAAATTAGTGTTGTATCTTGTCATGAGTTAACCCATGTGTCAACTAATATTGAGAATATTTTTGGTAATTCATTTTATAAAATTCTATTTGTGTCGTGTTGTGTCAATCTGCGGATATGCATGTCAATTTCAGATATTTTTTGGATTTTTTTCTTAAAAAAATAATTATTTTTCATGCCGTGTCGACCAATGACCCGCAATGAGTCGTGTTCGAATTCGAGTTTTGGACCCGTCAATGAAAACGTATCATATACAAATTGAGCGGTTTCATGTTTGTGTCGAGTCGTGTTCGACCAATTTTGCAACCCCTATTCAATCTATAATAATAAGGGCTTTATTTCTTTCATATAATAGGACAAAAATCATCTTATGTTATAAGATAAATAAAGTGGGGTCCATCAATTTTTTTAAAAAGAAAAAGAAAAAAAAAGAGGTAAATCTTTTTATGTAAGTATAATATGATAGATGAATCTCATATAATATAAGAGTATAATTTTTCTAATAATAATGTTATGTAATCTGACATTGAACAGTAATAATAATTATCAACAGGTCCTTGTGTTCACTTAGAGCACTGTGGTGCGCAACCTTCCGACCCATATTAGAGCCATTTGTTTGGGCTTCTAAAAAAAGTAACTTTTATCTTCTTCTTTTTATAGCCAACAGGGCCAGAGCCCCAAAAACAAACCAAACAAAGACAGAACACCAAAACAGAAACAGAAGCTACTAGATCACTAGAGCTCGCGATCTTCCCACTCCAGTAAGATCAGCCGGATAAATAACGTGAATATCAGGTGGTGGTTCTTCACAAAAAAGATATTGCACAGCCTCATCATGCTCCAAGATAAAATTTGTCATCCAATCCACACAAGCATTTCTTTCCCTGAACGTGTGATTGAAACTAACCGACCAATCTTTCTAAATCCATGCTCGTATCCGAGAAATTAACTGACTCTCACGAGCTGCTGCACCCTGGGAGGTGAGCACAGTGATAATACAAGTTAAATCACTTTCAAATTATAACATTACGGTGACCAGAATTCCAAACTAATTCCAGCCCGCGAAGCACACCCCACAACTCTGCTCTAAAAGAATTACAAATCCAAAGTCTATAAGCAAATCCACCCAGCCATCTCCCTTGAGAATCTCTCATAACTTCATCACAAGCAGCTATGCTAGGAGCTCCACGAGCAGCACCATCTGTGTTAACCTTAACAAATCACAAAGAAGAAAATTGCCAAGAAATGTCAACATACATTTTTCTGCGTACAACTAAATGCTCATTTCCTCTCCCCACAGCCATCTCAACATCATGAACAAGCTTCTGAATTAGAACCTCTCTCGACCTAAAAGGAGGGATACCAGTGCCATGCATCTTCTCATTTCTCCATTGGCCACACTTTCCAGCAAGTCAAGAAAAACAAAGAAATATCAGTTCCGTAATTATATTTTCTAAAAGCCACTTATTCAAACCTTGCTGATAAAAAATAGAATTTCCATCAATGGAAACGGGACTTATCCAAAACTGTTTCGTCTCCAAACAGTCCCTCAAAGCACGCAACATTGTCTCAGGTTCAGAATTACAAATGGGGCACATATTATTCCCCCGAGACAATTGAGCAACTTTATTCATTGTTAATAACCCATAACGAACCACTTTTCACATAAAAAGTTAAAGTTATTTGTATTTTTATAAAAATATTTAATTTTTGAAAAAATATTTAACTTTTGATTTCTGCTTTTTTTAGAAATTAAAATTTTTAACTTCTAAAAAAAGTATATTTTTGATTTTTTTATGACTTTTGTTTTGTTTTTAAAGGCAGACATCCAAATGAACTTAAAGTGAGAACTATTTTTTTTTTTTTTTGAAAATAAAATAGCTTTTGGAGAGAGAAAAAAATCCATCCAAATGGGCATTAAAAATTCTTCCATTGATGAATGCATTGTAATAAACTAACAATAATAAGAAAAAAAAAATAGTTGGACGTTGTGAATGATTGATATAATGTATCATTAATAAGTAACTAAATGGTTCACTTGGTACCCTTGGTAATACGCTCCTAATGAATGATTTATTAACGTAAACACCCTTATTAAATCATATAAGTTATTTTTATTTTTAACTATACATACATAATTTAATGTTTATGTTTTTTATTTTCTACAATAAACTAATATTTTAAGATCCTATATATGCTAAATTGAAGAATTATCCATGATTTTTTTTTGGTTACAATCCATGACTTTTTTTCTTGATAATATTTTTGCTTAGTTTTTGCTCGCAGACCCACCGAAGACAAGATACACAAATACAAAGAGAGGACAAGGGTTCGCCTTGGATTTTGCTAAAATAAAAGGCAAAGCAGAAGAAAACCTTTGTACAAACCAAAACATCAATTTCCAAAAGGAAAAAAAAAACATATAAGAGAGGAAATATAAATGAGGATATAATTTTATAAATGGGCTATTTTATTAATTTTTTAATAAAAAATAAAAAATGATTAACTTATTTTTACTATTATTATGAGAAAAATGTTTCTGCAGTTAATGCAGATAGGTTATCTGTATTTATTTTCAAAACGATATTGTTTTAGTATTGAAATCTTAAAAAGTTAGATTATTATAACTCGAAATAAATTAAAATTACAAAAGCATCATGATTTCTGCTCCAAAATGACGTCGTATTAAGCTCACTGCAGATAACTTATCTGCAGTAACTGCAGAAAAAATGAACCTAAGATTATTTACTAGTTTTCTTATTTCCTTTGCAAACTCTAAAATGATAGTTAGTAAAAAGAACGAAGGAACCCAAACCTTTTGGCACAGTTGGTCCGGAGACTGTGTTTCATTAATCAGTGATCTTGAGTTCAAGTCATGGGTATGGAAAAAAAAGATTGGGTAGAGCCGCCCCGCAAGGATCTTACGGTGCTCGGTTTGGGATTAGTCTCACACTCGAAGTGGGTGAGAATACCCTTGTTACTGAATAAAAAAAAAAAAGAACGAAGGAAAAAACACAAAAGAATGGTGACAGCTGGATGGCTCATTCTATAGTTGCTTTCTTACCAATTTTCACGAACTCTTCCCAGCGAGGTCAGCAACCTAATTAATAATCTATCATTCGAATTGTGCCCTGGCCAACGTGTTTCTTCCCTCCCTTCCCGTACAAAAATTAATTCCCATGAATATGCACTCCCTCCGCTTATTTTATTTCCCCCCATAAATAATATTAAAATTAAAAAAAAAAATATTTACAATTTTTTCTATCTTATAATTTCTTTTCATCGCTTTGTTATTGTCGAATTAAAATTAAATTAATAATTCTTATTTAATATAATTTTATAATTATTGATTTGATTTTGATCCAATAATAATAAAAGTTATAAGAGATTGTAAATATAATTTCTCCCTTAAAATTATTCCCATTGATATAAGGCTTATTTAAAATAAGGGAGAAAAAAAAAACAGATACAATAAAAATAAAATAAAGAAAATTAGAGAGAAGTTGACACTTTTTTGTCTATCGTCTGATGAAAAAGTAACTATATGCCCATTTCTTTATCTGATTTCATAAAAAACAAAGACACATGTAAATATATAATGAAATTTACAAGATTATGTTCTCTTACATTTCTTTTTCTTTCTTTCTATTCAAGAGTTAGGAAGAGAATAAAAAAAAAAATGAGACATATAAAAATATCATTCCTCAATTTTTTTTTTTATTCCATGCATATATACATATTAAATATGAGATAAGTTTAATCCATATACGACCTTTCTTTACTTTTCCGTCACCAAAGGATATCAAACAAAGCATAAAATATAAATTATACAGATTACATATAAAAATTTGAAGGTAAAATTATCTCCATTTACTTTAAATTGATGTCGTTTTGAAGTTAAAAAAAATTATACTTATAAAAGTTAATATAATCCCAAAATAAATTAATATTACAAAAATAACTTTTTTCCAACTTCAAAACAATATCATTTGGACTTAATAAAGATAAGTTACAGCCAATAAGTGAGAATATTAAATCCATATATATATATATAAACATCTTGAATGTCGGAGTTTAGAATAATAAAAAAAGTTTTTTTTAAAAAATAAAAATATAAAAGGGTATTGTTAGATATACAATTATATTTATTGACCTCAAACCTCAAAGCTTGGGTATTAGAATCACACATTGATAAGATAAACACGTAATGTGTGAATAAATATTATATACAGTTACCATTTACATTTTTAACTATATTAATTATTAAAAATCAAACTTTTATAAAAATATTTTATAATTTTTTTAAGTTTGACGCGAATGGCACGCTTTGTAAATTAGTCCAAGTATGACAAGTTATGATCTAAAAAAGAGTATTTTTCATTATAACATATCTTCTCTCTCTTTTTCAAACTGAAAAATTAATAAAAATTATGTAAATTTTATAACATATATGTGATTTTTATTTTTTTAAAAAAAGATTTCATGTCCCAAGGTCCCAACAAGACAATTGAATTTATTATTATCTAGCTTTTCAAATGAGACCCAAATGGTAAATTAAAATACAGGAGAGTTAAGTAACAGAAAACTCAGAAGGGAATTACAAAAACAAATTAGGCAATTCAAAGAGGCTCTCGTTAATGTTAAACAGCTTCTGGATTCAATTAGATACACCTTGAAAAAGAAAAAAAGAAAAAGAAAAAATAACTCCCTGGTTCCGGAAAAGGGGAATAAAACGAAGAAAAGCGAGTGATGTTGAAATAGGGACAAGGGCAATGCATACTAATTTTGTTTCAGATGAGTTGTCTTTGTAACCAGCTTTGGTGGTAGACAGACACTGTAAATAGCAATAGTGCATATTTCAACACAAAAAGTAAAAGTGAGAAAAGACAATGATAGTCTCGCATGGGTTATTGCACATAGGACAGCACACACCATTGGTAGCTTGCTTCTCTTTAATTTGTGGACACTTGAATTGAATCCTTGAAGTCCACACTTTTGACCTCTTTCGGTGTCAAGGTCATAATAATGTAAGACAATGAAATACCTCTGAATCCAAAAACACGTCATGATTTTTTCTTTAAAAAATATTCATAAATAACAAAATTTTCTGATTATTTTTTATATCTTAATAATTAATTAATAAGATAGGTAAAGTAGAGTTGACAGAGTAAGAGTTTGTTTTATGGGAAAAATTACTTTTATATTACATGTGATAACTTTCTCTCCTACACATCTTTTGATAATTGTGCCACTTTTTTCTTTTCTTTTCTTTTTATTTTTCAGATGGTGGAGCCCACAAATTTATCTCTATGACATGAGATAATTTATCTCTTTTAACACGAGATTAATAAAACTTGTTTTATATTTATTTTTATAAAAAAGTAACAACCTATTATCGAAAGATAAAAATCATTATCTAATCTATGTACAGTATTTACAGGTATAATAACAATATAAAATTTCGGTTTGCAAATTCTCCATTTTATTATGGATTAATCACCTCATGAAATCTTTTGGAATTTTGGTATAATAGAAGTTTAAAACTAATAAAAGGCAGTTTAAATAAAACTTTCATAAAAATGACTAAATAACAATACCATTATCTTTTTCACTAGGAAGTCTAGGAAGATGAGTCCGCCATGCTACAAATCTTAAACAGTGATTTATAAGGATACTTACTAGCTACCTACTAATTAATTAAGAATTGTTGGCGGAAATTGTATAAAAAATTGAAGGTGATGCAACACAAACTTATCATTTAAGAAATAGATATAAATTTTTTTTAGTTCAAGATCATGTGAAAATTCGAAACCAGAAAGTTATTACCACCTTTTAATTTTATTTTTTGGGTAACAATTACCACCTTTTAATTAGCGTGAATAAGAGAATTACAAATCCTCTATCAAGTTTTTATTTTCTTCCTTATTATCACCACAGTAAAGCTGTGAAATGTACTCACCAAAAAAAAAAACTGTGAAATCTATCACAATAGTCGGTTTATTATTTCCTTCTGCTGTGGATGATTATCCTGTTCCGTCCTTATCTTATCTGTAAGGTAGTGTTTGATTGAAGGTTTATTTTGGGATTGATGAGAAAGTGTAAGTGGATATTGGAAAATATCACGTTTGGTTCAGGTTTTTTTAAAAAGTACCAGGCAAATAGGATAGATGGGAAAATGAATTTTGTGTTGATTTTTGGATGAAATTTACTGTTACAGAATACCACTTGAGAGGTAGTATTTTGAGATAACTGAGGAAGTGAAAAAGAGGTGCAAAATTTCTCCCGAACATAGATTTTGCATATTTAAATAAATTTCCTTGGTAATATTTGGGTCAACCAAACAACTTTTTTTATATTTTCCTACCAAACTCATTTTCTAACAATTTTCCTATCAATTACATTTCTCTAGTAAAAAAAAATTTCTCCCAAACTAAACACTACCTAAAGAAAAAAAAAGTACAAATTTTCTTAATCTGGAAAAAAGGGTCTTGTTACTCGCATTTATTTTCACAAATGACATCTAAATTTAAATTTTTTTTATTACAGTAATCAATATAGTGTGATGTGCAAACTATAACTATTTGATCGGTAAATATTTGCAAATGAACACGTTATTACGTGTTGTAAATAGAAT